CTTCCTCATATCTTAATGGATCATATGCTTATATATTATGCAACTTAAATTCAAAACCTTTTACTACTTTCTTTGATAGGAGATTATTTCCTCTAGGGCAAAAGGTATATTTCTACTGAAAATTATTGTATTGAAGTAAATTACCACTCAAAAATTATATTGATGCAATTTGCTACTTTAAATTTTCATTTTTAAGAAATCGACTCAAATTTAATGATTATTGTAAATTTTTCATTAGACTTCAAGAATAATAATTTAACAGAGCATAACAACAACTGTTAGATTTAAGTCAATTTCTTGAAAATAAAAATTTTGGTAACAAATTATATCAATATTTTTTTATGATAATTTGTTTCATTACAATAATTTTGAAGGTAATTTGCACATTTGACCTTTCCTTTAGCTCATTAAGTTTATATAAAAAAGGGTGAAATAATTATTAAAATAATAAATATTTATTTTATAATTTAAACTATAAAACGTAAATTATTAAATTAGCATATAACTATCAATGTCAAAAAACAATTCACCCTCGTCCTCATTTAAGTTGGAACTGTTCAAAATGTACGATGCATTTTTTAAAGTAAATTTCTTATGTTTGATATGAGAAAGTTTCAAGCTCGAAAAAAAAATATATATATATATATATATTTTAAATTGTTACTTATTTTTTGAATGAATTTTTTAACACGTGATTTAAAGATATAAATTAAAAATATATTTATTATATCTTTTTATTAGTAATTTATATAAAAATTATAAAATAAAATTTATTTTTAATTTCAATATCACATAAAATAATTTAATTAAATAATTAATAAAACTTAAGTTAATTTTTATTTTTTATATAAATTAATAATAAAAAATATAATAATTACATTCTTAACTTATGATAACATACATAGATTTAAATATTTCTTTTTAGATATCAATAAATTACTTTTTAATAGTAACTAATTATTTGTTTGAGTTTATGATTCAAGCTAGGTTACCTGCCGGCCAATGAGGTCATTTGCTTAAAGATTAAGCAGATGAACCTTTTTAAAGAGGGTGCGAGGAAAATGCCCAACTATTGATTTTTAAAAAAATGAAAAATTAAATTTTTAATTTTACAATTATTGATTAAATTATAAAGTTGTTAAACAAAAGTCAATAATAAAATCAATTAAGTGCAACAATAATATATATA